AGTCGTAGTAGTAGTATGAGTTATTGTTGTTGTAGTAGTAATAACTAATTTATTTTACATGAGCTAAATATACTTGTAATTGAATTAGTTATAATCACAATAATATCTTCTATACATTATATTTTCTCATTTATTATAACATCCCTTCTGGTTAACTATAGCATTCATAATTAAAGGTTTGTTGCCTATTTTGTATGTACTGTCAAAATTTTAAGGTTTTTTTTGAAGAACTGTTTAACTTACTGTCAAAATTTTAAGTTACTGTATAAAACTTATAAATCTCTCCTCTTTCTCTTGCTTGTATGAGAAATCATTATTTTTTATTCTATGTGAAGTTTAGTTTAATTTTTTAGTTGGATCTATTTTTTAGATTTTTTAATTTTATTTTGCTTACAAAATATCATTAACATAATAACACTTGCAATGCAGGCGCATGCTACTAGCATTCTTTAAGGTTGGGAGCGAGATCCCCAAAAGGTTGGAATCGAGATCCCAAGAGGTTGGGATTGAGATCCCTAACATTTGGGGAGCTTGATCCTTAATATTTGCATTCATGGACGGTGCTCCCTACCATAGGGATGTTCTAGCCTCTCACGATCCCCCGGTGCCTCTCCCATTCTCGCTTCTGCTCATGATGCCAACACTTATGATTGGGTGTAGAGCTGTTAGAGGACTTGAGCCTGTGAGATGTAGGGTAAAAAGAGGAGTGATAAAAAATATTAAAAGACCAGTTGGAACTTGGAAATTCTCAGCATACTCTTTGCTTATGATTCATTCCTTCCCTATAGTTCTCAGCTTATGAAATGCCCAGAACAACTCAGAATAGGGAAAATATGGGGCAAGGGTGTGATTGGAACTGCCATTCCTTATAGTTGCCAAGGCCCCTTGGAATGAGGAGAACATTATGAAAATATGAATTTACAAATTTCTTTAATTTGTTTAGGTTTTGTATACAATGCAAGAACATTTGTTTCCTACAACTTCTGTGAAGCACTCCAGCCACGTGATCAACAGAGAGCTGGGTGTGTTGTTCCAATATTTAAAATCCGTCAAATTTTTCCACAAACTTTGAGTGGAGGAATAACACACCGTACCATCCCTTGTTGCCATATCTATCTGACTGCTGGGATGATGCTCAAAAGCTGTGGGATTTGGGGAAACAAATGTGTTCGCACACAAAACGTTTCCATCTGTCCTTTCAGTTTTGCATAGCTTGATATTGCTTCTACTATATGACTACTCATTGTTCACATTTTATATTTTCTGTTTCATTCTTGTCATTGCCTTTCATTATTGTTATTGCATTTTTTTTTAAAATTTTTTTGCTGCAGATGTTCTCTCTAAACCTGTATTTGTTAAAAAATAATGTAGTGATGTTCATCTATTTCACATGGTTTTCTGCCATACATTTTTTTCCTATTTAGGTGCATCAAGCTAACAGATAATGGGCTGCAACAGATACTTCTTTACTGCCCAATGATTATGAGCTTGAATCTCTATGCCCTGTCAAGGTATGCATATTTGTAAATTTGATGTGGGTTAAACATATATTTCTTTTTGAGATAAGTTAAACATATATTTTATCTACGTATTTGAGAATTGTTGATGGAGATCCTATTTTTGTGCGTGCCATGGTCACAATTTCAATTGCTGATTGCGCTTTGTGCAGTTTAACAGATAATGCTTATCAAATGATCTCGTTTTTGACCAATTTAAGATTCCTGGATCTTTGTGGTGCACAGGTATTTAATTTAGCTGTGATGATATTATTAGTTGCATTTGTTTATAACAATAAACTATATTTTTTCCTATTGCAACTCCAGAACCTCTCTGACCAGGGTCTTTCTTCAATAGCCAAATGCAAGAATCTGGTATCTTTGAATTTGACATGGTAAAGATAAAATATTTTCATCTTATGTGCTATTATTATACTAGTATTGTGAATAAGAACTCAATATGAAATTTGAGGGGTTCTGTTTACTATTTGCAGGTGTGTTAACGTCACTGATGTTGGCGTTCTTGCTCTTGCTAGCACTTGCACCTCCCTTGAGTATCTTAGGTAAACATTGGGTGTTTTGCTCTGGTTTGATGTAGGAATAATAATTTGTTTAGTCTTTTCAACGAAATGCAGCTTGTTTGGGATCACTGGGGTGACTGACAAAAGTCTAGAAGCTCTCTCAAGATCTTGTTCGGCAACTCTTTCAACCCTTGACGTAAATGGATGCATTGGCATTAAGGTTTGACCACCTTGTCTTATGTTCACATAGCTAATGATATGAAATCTATTCCTTTTCCTTTTCTCATAGAGCTTAAGATTCGAACCACAGACCTAGGTTTGAGACAGAGATGACTAGAGTACTTTTAGGCTCTTCTGCTTGACCCTGAAGCTTGTGCTAACTAAATTGTATCTTTGTTGTACTTTAGAGGCGGAATCGAAATGAGTTGTTGGAATTGTTCCCAAAACTGCGTTGCTTTAAAGTGCACAGCTGATGGTTCGGGAAATGTCAATGGAAGAAGGTTCAATGGTGAGTACATAAAACATAGACTTACAAGACTCACATATATGTTATAGATTAAATATTAAAAGATTGTTTAAATTAGGAGTTTAGTTTGACCAAAACTCTAATGATTTTTAATTTCCTACAGATTTTGGAAAGATATTCGAAAGTTTTGGATTGATCATAATTCTAATTTAAATAGAAGTTGGACTTTAGGTCAAATTATAAAGGGATAAGGTTCCAAATAATTCTCCCAAAATCATGATTGCTAATTTGTAGGATGGATGATTCAGATTTGTTCTCTCTTATTGTTGGTATTTTGGTTTGAAAAATACTTGTGTATTTCAAAATAATAATGTAATTTTGTGATTTTTCCTAAGCTGTTTTTTGTAGGGAGAGAAAGCTGTGGGTTTTTATCCCACATTGAAGAAGAAAGGGTTAATTGAGCGGTATTTAAAAGTAGGCATTCCCATGCTTTATACTCTTAGTACAAAGGTGAGAGAAATGGTGTACGTGCCAAGTATGTGAAGCGTGCGACACGCACGCTCATGTGCGTGTGCGAGGGTTAAGGTGTTGGCGCAAGGGCTTTCATTGCGCACTTTGCACTTCACACACTCGCATTGGCGTATGAGGTGCCCCTCGCCCGAGCACGTGTGTAGGTCGGGCTCATGACTCTATCGTTTTTTAGCCCGGCTCGTATGGGGGATCCAACGGTCATCTAGCCGTTGATGAAATGCAGGCTAGTATCAGTAGCCATCAAGTGCATGTAACTTGCAGCTGTTTGGTGGTGCATGTAACCACCACTACAGTAAATGTGCAAGTGCATGTAACTTGTAGCTGTTGGTGGTGCATGTAACTACTACTATACTAAATGGGCAACCTCTTGGTGCTCTATATAAGAGGCCCATGTTCCCATACGAAAATACACTTTTGAGCCTCTCCACAAACACTTGCAACACCTTTCTCTGTGAAATTCTAGGGAGTATATTTGTGAACTCAATTCTCTCTCTACTCGGTTTTGTCTCTTTCTCACTCTGAAACATTAAGACTCTGGTGTCTAGTTTGTGGGTTCCAAGCTCGAGTGCATATAGGTTTAAAATGTAAAAAGAGATCTCTTTGTTTTCCTATATCCCGAGGACGAATTGCCCTTCTTATGCACACCAAATACAATATCGAAGGGGGGAAAATATTGTCTTGAGATAGCGCTTCTGTGTGCTCGAAAACTAAAAGGAAGCAAACATTTGATTTCTGAAATCGCAGTATTTTTGGCCCCTATTTTACCTAACCAATTTCACTCAACCAATTTTTTGCCCCATAGATTTCCCAAGTTCCTATTGGTCAAGTTGTGTCATTAGATAGGGAATAGCTAAGAAAGGAATTCTAATCCAAATAGGAGAAGAAATTCTTTTTTTATTTAAACACCATTGAGCCCCTCTCTTAAGATACATTTCTCTCTCCTCCATGCACCAAGTCTCTCTCTCTCTTTCATTAAAATTTTGTTTCTCTCTCTCTCTCTCTCTCTCTCTCCCCTTTCCAAAAAGGGACATGCCACCCAAAATTTGATAAGAGAAAGGTGGCACAAAACCCTAATTAGGGTTTTGCTGTTTGGAGAAGACAAAGGGGTATGCCAGCCATAGCAGGATTTTATGCCTTCAACCTCAGCACTAATTTCTTCCTAAGGGTTCTTACAAATCCTAGTTAGGTTTCCATGGTTTCTAAAACCCTAGAGTAAGAGATATTGTCTATGAGAGAGAGAGAGAGAGAGAGAGAGAGAGAGTACACCCTTCAAAGTATCAGATTGGATGTTCATCCACACCTCAAAACCAATTTTTGCATGTGGGGTATCCCAAAAATTTCCAAGCTCCCTCAAAATGAATCTTCTCCAAGTTTGTTTTGTTTGGAGCCACAAAAAGTCGTCCGAATCACATCTATCACACATTGAAATGGACCATCCATATTTGATTTGTATTCAAGTGGATTTGAATTTTGGGAGGGCCAAAACCCCCCATATTTTTTGAAGGCATTGTTATTGGGTACGAGAGAATGACTTGGAAGTTTGTAGGTCAAGCCCACACCTCAAAAGTGGTTTAGGTAAGTGGACCACCAAATTTGGTGTTTCCAGGCAAATGGGGTGGCAATGGGTCCGGTCCAGCTGGACCTGGACCCGGACCCGGACCCGGACCCGAATGGTATTCAGATCCATACCTAGACCCGTTGGGTCTGGGGTTTGGTCGGATCCATTGCCACCCTATGACTATGAGTTTTGGTTTTTTTTTTTTGTTGCCCCTTTTTTTACCATCGTATAACCTGACTATGAGCTTCTTTTTTTTGCCAATAATATTGTAAATGTTGCCAATATTGTAATATGAGCACCAAGTGCGACACATGATTGCCATTATGTACCCTATGACTGCAGGTACCGGGTCGGGTCTAGCTGGACCCGGACCCAGACCCAAAACCAAATGTTATTCGGGTCCAAAATTTGGACCCATACCTGAACCGAGGTCGGGTGTACCCGTCTGTCCCAGGTCTAGTTAGGTGCATTGCCACCCCTACAAGCGAAGCATGTTATCTTTCCCTAATATATATGGCAAGCATTTGGTGTTCCCTTTGGATCAAGCTGCACATTTGGTTCTACTGCTAAATCACCATTCGAGGGTTACTTGTTTGACCCCAAAACTCTCAAATCATCTTTTATTCATCTATGTGATCAATTTAAAAATGATTTGGAGCTCAAAATTCCTCCAAGTTGATTTGTTCTCCAATATTAAGTCTAAAAACTGTTCATATGATCTGATTTAGGGTTGTAAGAGATAAAAATTAATTTTTTTTTAAAAAATAATAACGAAAGTGTTGAAAAATTTACGGTCATAAAACTCCCCCTAACTGGGTGTTTTGGTTTGCCCATAGGGTCACCTTACACACATGCAGGCACACACACAAAAACACACATGCTCAGGTACTCACACAGGTAAACAATTATATTCATGTTGGGGCATATGAATCACTTGCTGACATCCTGCATGGTTCTGATTGAACTTGGCATTCTTTAGGAATTTCTCTTATATGGTTTATTGCATATTGAGAGAAGCATTCTTGCTCGTTAGCACAATTCATGAATCTCAAAGCCATGTTTTTTTTGTAGTAGTTAGGTTTGGCTGTCATTGCAAACATCGTTACCATGTTTTGGCCAAAGTTCTAGCGTTCTCTTATGCAGCTTTTGCATCAATAATCCGGGTTAAAATTCTGTGTGCTGACATCGAACAGAAACTTCACCCAAAATAAGTACTAGAAGTTGTAGTTGTAGCATATTTCTCAATACACTTTATGGTTAAAGAATGTTAATGATGATATATCTCGTCTTTCATATCGTCCATGTTATTTATGATTCACAAAATTCAAGACCAAAGGAAAAAAAAAAGTGTTCGCTACTTTTATGATAGTTTTTTGAATGAAAAAATCACATACACATGAGCAATTCACTTTTTCCTTTTGGAACTGAACCATATATTGAAAGCTGATGTTTTGTTCAATGTAGTTTAGGCACACTGTTGCGTGAATGAATTCTATTTTCCTTTAGATTCTCGGTTTTCCAATGCTGGTTGATTTAGATTCAATGTGACTCCTTTGGAATGGTAAGCTTACCGTGGACATGTCACTTGGCTTAAACTATCTTCACTATTGTTTTTAACAAAAAGAAATCTTTCGTATTATGAAATTTACCGTATATACTATGGATGCCTAATGTTCTCAAAATAAAGGAGAGCATACTTCTTGTGGTTTTCTGATTTGATAGACTGTATGGTGCAGATGATGATAAATTCTCAAGGCACATGTCCAATTACAACATTCATGTTGCTGGGATGACAAAAATGTCAGAGGTCAATATGGTTGTCAAATGGCAAATCCCAATAGAATCTCTAATTTAAATTAAATATATAAACATCCACATAAATATCCATTGATACTGTTCCCAAAAATTGGAGATCTGAGACCTTCCTTCACCAAGTGTATTCTTTGGATAGAATCTTGCTAATTTCTTGTGAAATACTCAGTAATACAGGGGCAGACAGTGCAAGTTTGTTGTAATGAAAGATGAAATACATCTCGGTTCGTAAGTCATCCCTACTAAATCCATTATATTTTATGCTTTTTCATGCTAGAGAAAATTTGACTGAAGTGACATCATTATGTTTTTTTTTCTTTTTTAGAAGTTATATTATTATGTTACTACTGTTTTAGGGATTGTATTCTATGAGACTATTTATTATTATATGGAGATCACAATTACTCCTAGCTATTAGATATCAAATTGGATGGCTTGGGGTGTGTCAAAAAGTGTGAGAAGTTCTTTTTTAAACTTTGAGTCTAGTCAAGGACATGCTCACAACCACCCAATTTGAAATCTGAAGGACAAACGATTTTGACCTGCCTGTACTAGAAGTAAATGGTCTCTTTGTATAATTTCCCATTGTTTTATAGTTCATGCCAGAATTTTAACAACTATTGAAGTCCTATCAACTGAATCAAAGCATCAGGTATAGAAAAATGATTACAAGTTGAATAAAAACTACATGTGCATGAATTTGTCACTATAGTATCCCATTAGAAATTTATTAGAAAAAAAAACGGTTACTCCATTATTGCCATCTATGTCATCTTAAAGCTCTAGAGTACTAACTGCAATACCCTGTGTATTTTCATTTCCATCTTGGTACCATAATACTCTTGGTAGCCTTTTGTACTTGCGTTTTAAAATCAGGATGTTTCAGTAAAAATGTGTTCATTCATTTGCCCACTTCAGGTATAAGCATCGAACCATAACTCACAAAATTACCCCTTCTAAAGTATACAAATTATACCTAAATACATTCAAGAGAACATGCACAGCTCAATTGCTCACATCAAACTGCAGCATTGCTTGAAATAAGTGAAAGTCTGTTTATGCGTTGTATTCTCCCATCCTCCACACTGTGTCAACTTAGATAGCAAATAAGCAAGAAAGGATGTCACTCTTATAAATTGGAATGATTTCTATTATTCCCACCCCCTTCACAATGATGCTCCCTCGAAGATCTAGTGCTGAGGCTTCTGTCTATTTTCACCAAAATGGCTGTTCAGCCAATTATGTTCCAGTAGTCTCGCACCCTAGCGCAATTTCTGCGAAGGGTGAATGAAAGTTGGTACATAAAGCGCATTCAAGTTTGTAACGCAGATTTTCCCAACCTACATATGCATGTTCCCTCACATCCCTCACTCTGAACTGTATTCTGGCATATTCTACCTTGGGCTCTTGGAGATCCTCTTTTGATCCGTCTGGCTATTAGCAGAGGGAATGCATATACTGTTACTTTCGCCCCTTTAGCTACTGACACGCTAGAGGACTTCGATCATGTGATCCCGAAAGAAAAGGGCACTTTGAACTGTTGAAGTCTCGTTGAAACTTGAGAGAAAAGCATCTTCCTCTTCTCCCGAAAGAAAAGGGAAGTTTGACCTGTTGAAGTCTCGTTGAAACTTGAGAGAAAAGCATCTTCTTCTTCTTCTTAGAATGTTAACCTTAAATAGTTGTTAAAATTTTTAAGGTCACTGGTGCTTTGATTCAGTTGATACCTGATGCTTTGATTCCGTTAGTACATAACTAGACTTGTTGCAGGTGAGGAAAAGGGATAGTGTTTTCGCCCATAGGTTCATGACCATCAGAAAAAATCGCATGGTGTGTGTTTTTCGACTGCCACAGATCTAGCATGTCTATGGTGGTACCGTCATGGACATGCTAAGTAGGTCCGTGACGGTGCGTCATCTGTTGTCGATCTGTTCAATGAACCGCCACTGACATAGCATGTTCGTGGTTGTAGCGAAATATTGTAGCACTTTGCC